GGCTGGTTTCGAACTCCTGAGCTCAAACAATCTGCCCGCCTCGGCCTCCCAGAGAGCTAGGATTACAGGCGTGAGCCACCGCTCCCGGCCACAAAATTTATTTTCAGGAAAGTTTTCTTACCACTATCAAATTCCATTTTATTCTGAAAATTTTTGCTTTTCATATTTAGGTCTTTAATCTACCTGACTTTTATATATGGGATATAGTAGGAATTAGACATCTTTTCCATAGTCTATTATCTCAGCAACAGGTATTAGGCCATCCTTCCTCTTAGTTATAAAAAGCCCGCTCTATTGTGTACCACATAACTCCTCCGTAAACTTGTCTTACTCCTGTGGATCTTTTGTCTGTCTCTCTATACCAATACCACTCTTAATTATTATTACCTTTACTGTAAATCTGGCTATATCTGGTAAGACAAATCTTCTTTCTTACTCCAACTTACCTTGATTTACTTTGATTCTTTGTTTTTCATCTTTATCTAATCTGTTTAGTCTATCTATTTCTACTAACTCCTTTGTTTATAGAAATTCAGTCTGTTTTTTCAGTTTCCTTTCAAGGAAAAGAAGTAATATAGACAGCCAATAGATCTCAATTTCATACTTTTTCTTTGTGAGTTGTGTTTTAATCTGCTGTATTTCAGAGTAATTAAAATCTTACAGATCTACAGAAAAACCAAACTGAATTGTTTCTGCATTTTGTTCAAATTATCTTGACCTTTTCTCAAAGTTCAATTCTTTTCTCATCATTCTGAACATACTTATTTTTGTTTTGTTTTATTATCCCTTTTAATTCTAACCCTGCTGTTGTTTCAGATTATCATATATAGAAAATTATTTCCTTAACTCTCCTAAACTTTTACTCGGAAATGATTTCAAACTTACAGAAAAGTTGCAAAAGTAAAAATCATACAAAGAATATCCATTTGTCTTTTACCCAGATGTGCTTTTTGTTAAGTTATTTGCTTTGTCATTTGTGCTCTTTACACACATTTTTCTAAACCATTTGAAGTTACATATATTATGTTCCTGTATGAATGCTTTCGTGCTTTAACTCTTTTTTTTCCTTCATGAAAATGCTTTGTGGCTTGGATTTTGGGAACTTCCATCCAAAATAGTGTTACATTTGCTTCTGCCATGAGCCACAGGGGGTATCACTGACTTGGAACAAGTTTTTATTTTCCTATCATAGGGGTTCTTTATGTAGGTAGTAGAAATTTGAGGTATAGGGCCATTGTTAAAAATTCTCTGGGGAACCAGTTTCTCCAGAGTGCTCTGTCTGCACTCTAAACCCAGGCAGAGGCAACCAAGCTTCCTTCCTATCTCTCTTCGATAAAAACACCACTGAGGTATTTTTTTGTTTTTTCCTGTTTCACCTTTGGCTTTTAAGATACCAGCCCTTTGAAGGTCCCAGGTTTGTGCAGGATGATGTGGGCATGGAGCATGGATTCCATCTTTCTGTTTCACATGGGCCTAAGACCTTGCTTTCTGACCTGTGGGTTTTAAATCTAAGCCCCTTTGTTACAGAGACCGACACCATCAATCAGCCTTCCCAGCCGCAACAGCTGTAGGAGTTTATCTATGGCTTTCAGTTCCTTTTTTGTCATCCGATGAGCTGAATTTTCTTTTTTGTGAATTCATCCATACATTTAAAAGAATGTCTGTCTTAACTAGTACTTCAAGGCATTTGTGGCAGGAAGATTTTATGGTTAAAATTGTCTCTAAATTGTCAAAATTGGATATTGAAATATCACCAAACCTTGAAGCTGGACTTAATTTGATAGAGACTCACAGTCTTGGGAAAACATGGTCTTTACCCAGTCTAATGTAATTATAATATTCTTTTAAAATACGAGTTATCTTCTGTTCATAAGAAACTAATTTTAAGGTAACTGATTTTATTAATAGTCTTAATATTACTATTTAGATTCATACTAATCTTAAAAGGTATTCAATAACTCTAAGACAGTTGGCAGGTGGAGAGTTATATCACCTATATTACCTTGGAAGACCCAACAAAGGGAAAGTTGGTGGAGTTGAAACATAACAGGTAGCTGCCTTCCTAGTCTCTAAGGGAAGGAAAGAAAAGGAAATCCCCTATGCTCAGAACCTTTCGTACGTTAACCTCATCTGAAAAACAGGGACCAATTGCTGTTACCTGCTAGCCAAATGCCTTACTTTACTTCCTTGTGGAGGAGGAATGGAGGAGCTGGAAACCAGAGTGTTAGATTAAAATCCTTCTTTATGGAAGGAGTGTTCTTGCCCAACGGTCATATCACCAGTATTTTGTCTGACAGAGAACAGCAATAGAGAATGTAAACAGAACACATTGGCTGTGGAATGTACTCTGGTATATTTGTGGCTTTGAATTCCAACTTATATTTAGAGTATTATATATAATTTAAAGAATTATGGCC